GCAGCGTCTCTTCTGCCCCTCTAGAGCTTGGCTCTCACGCTGCATGGCAGAGACAGCAAGATGGGCCCATTCTGGGAATAATCACCTCCTCACACCTGGAAGTGAACCCAGCAGCAAAAGTGCAGAACGATGCCTGACTGGGAGTCAGGGCTCTAGCGTTCGTTCATCTGGCAGGCGTGGAGCGCCTACCATGTGCCAAGTACCGAGCTAGTGGTCAGCCTGGAGGAGGAGTCAGCCTTCCCACCTCCACGTCTAGTGCCCTTGACTCCATTCCTATGCAAAGAAGAAAGGTGATTAACAGAGCATGTTCTGCATGTGGGGCCTTGTGGCACTGTTCTATTTTCCTGGTGAAGAAATGGAGGATCAAAAGGAGCAGGTCCATGTGCCAGCCACGCAGGCGGGAGGCGGCAAGTCAAGGCTCAAACCCAGGGTAGCCTGTCTCCAAGATTCACCCGCCTCCTACTTTACTCAATACCCTCAGCTCAGTAAACAGGGGCTGGCCTGCCCAATGCTCTGGGTAAGAAGCTGCAGGGTTTTCCTTTTCCCCAGGAAGGCGGGGGATCAAATGTTTGCTGCTTTTTTCAGGGGGCGGGGCTGTGGACGTGCACTTTCCCAGACCCCAGGTGATTCTGATGCCCAGCAAAGCTGAGGACCTTCCTGCGATACCCCACGGTGGTGGGAGAGGATACAAAGGAAAAGTACGAGTTGTTCTTCCTCAAGGTGGAGGCAAGGAAGGTGGCCCAGAGAGGACAGACTTGAAAAGGAAGGAGAAATCCTAGGCAGAAGGCCGTGGGGACATAGCCACTAGGCACAGCGGGCACAGGGCCTGGGCCCACAACACTTTAGGGGTCCAAGAAAATGTTTTAATTTCTTTCAAAAGTCAGAAGAAAAAAGCCCAAACATTTAAGGTCAGAGAACATGTTTTAATTTCTTTCTCACAACAGAAAAAATGAAATTTTTAGGGGACATGGAAATCTATTAAATTTTGCCTAAAATAGAAAAGAAACGTTGAAGTATTTAAAGTTATATCAATGGTAATATTTGATATTGATATCCTATGGTGGGAGGGGCCCAGGAAGCAGACGTGCGCTGGCCCTTATGGAGACGCGGCGGCTTTGGGCAGGTGGGCCGCATGAGGCCCAAAGCCCGGGAGTGGGCCAGGTGCTGTGGGAGGGCCCTGAGCGCCGGCCCAGGAGGTGGGGCCTCATCTTGAGCATGCGGAGTCACTATAGGGTTTACACGGGGAAAGATACAGTTAGATTTTCAGTGTTAAGAAAATCCCTTTTCTTAACATGTTCTCCTGGGCGTGGCTTTGGAGGGGCTGATGGGAGACTGGCATTCGGGAAATCCGAAGGAGCCGGCTATTGAGACAGAGCCCGTGGGAGGGGACAGAGTCAGGGGACAGAGGACGCAGAAGCACTAAGACTGGGTGAGGGCTCACTGGGCCTGGGAGGATCTCAACCAAATGACGAGTGTTTTGATTAATATCCCTCAGAATCAACAAAGCTCTTTGTTCGTGTTCTACTTCCCACAGATTGCTTAGCTTCTGCTATGGACCAACTGTTTATGCTCCCACCTGAAGAGCATGTGTTGAACCCTAATCCCCAGTGTGATGGTATTTGGAGGGGGGGGGCCTTTGGGAGGTGATAAGGTCATGAAGGCAGGGCCCTCATGAATGGCATTAACGTCCTTATAAAACAGACCCCAGAGAGATCCTTGGTCCCTTCCACCATGTGAGGACTCAGTGAAAGGCCATCTAGGAACCAAGAAGTGGGTCCTCAAAATACATCAAATCTGCAGGTGCCTTGCTTTGGGACTTCCCTTTCTCTGGAACTGAGAGAAATAAATGTCTGTTGTTTCTAAGCCACTTGGCCTATGGTCTCTCTTCACAGCAGCCTGAGCAGACGCCCAGTGATCCCTTCGTTGTGCGGGCCGAGTTGAGGTTGGCCTCTTGCTCTACCCCGTTACCACCTTTAGGGTCCCGGACCACTCTTGTGCCTGCTGCCAACTTTACTGTATTGGTTAGGATACTGCTTTCTCCTGTGACAACAAAACCCCCTGAACTTCAGAGGCTCAAGGTAGTAGATTTCTTTCTGCCCCACCTAATAGTTCAATGTGGGCGTGCCTAGTTGGTGGGCAGCTTTCCACCAGGTGGGGAACCTGGGCTGAGTCCTCTTCCATCTGGTGGATTAGCTAACATCTGGGACCGTGGAGTCCTCTGCATGGAGTCAGAAGACAGGCAAAGGAGACAGTGGAGAAGACACACCCGATTCTTTCCTGCCTCTGCCTGGCGGTGACAGGTACCACTAGTGCTGACCTTCCACCATGGACACTAGCCCCCTACACCCACCTGGATGTCGGAGGACAGCAACATGGTCTCTGGTTAGGCAGCTGCTTCCCGTGGCAAGTCCACACTGTGGAGGGACAAGCACAAATCTTGGTAGAGAGGAGCCATCTGTGCCACCTCAGCCCAGGGCTATTTCCAGACCGAGTGGTGAGCACATCGGAGCTACATACCAAGTATCCGTTAAGGAGTTCAGGGTTGATTAGCCACGTCACATTATGAAATATGATAAAAGAGGTACAAAACACGTGAAAAAACCTCTCCATGTTAGATTGAACCCTATGGAAATGCTGTCTTGTAGCTAAAAAGTAGTCGAATGTTGGCGATTTCACATGATTCAATCTAATATATCGAGGGAGCTCTTCCAAACAGCTTTTCTTAGAACTCTAGCTCATAACTCTGGGAAAATACTGTGTACTCTATATTCTACTGGGAGAGTCAAATATGCTTTAGCCAGTTAAAAGCTTTGAAAAATCCTGTATTTAAGAAAATCCTGCATTGTTTAGTTTCTGTAATCAGTGATTTCCTAAGTAACTCTTGTTTAATCAGTGATTTCCAGGCTAATCTGTGCATAGAATTCATTTCTCCCAAATGCCTGTTAAGCTCTCATAGCATTCATCTTTACCTTTTGCACTTTGGGAAACTTTGCATGGAACACACAAGGGAATCCGTTTATATAGCAGAAAAGAGGTTTTTCTCTACGAAAATCCATACTGAGCACATTGGTGGAAAGGATAAACGTTTGTTGAGTGAATGAATGACTTTGCACTATTCTCATTTCTCTGAACCTTAAGTGTTTCATCTGCAAAATCAAAAAAGAAGACCCATTTAAAGAGCATGAGAAGGCGTCACACACGTGCTCGCTTCTTCCGTCCATCAGCATCCCTGAGACTGAAGGAGGCAGCCACTTGCCACGTAGAGGACGTCCTGTTTCAGCAGCCACATGTGGGATTGCTTTGGTCCTGACATGCAAACATGTTTAAGCACAGCTTCTTGAGAACTCACACGGATATTTGGGTCTGGCAGAGTTATTTTTATGTGTTCAAGAGAGAAGAAAATATAAAGCAACATCCTTGTGTTGACACGAAATGGCTGCCCCGTGATTCTGGGCTGGAGGTGGGGGTTGAATAAGCGAGCTGAAACGTCCACATGGAATCACTTTTCCATGGTCTAATCTGGGAAGCGGAATGCTCCGAGCTTGGAATGGAGCTGTGGCTCTGGTTAGAGGGTTGATTCACTGGGGCCAGCGCGGCCTTGGCAAGGCCGTGGATGCATCTGCCCTCCCCTCCCATGACCTCCTTCTGGCTGCCTCAGCTCCAGGCCTGGCAGAGCCCCCAGAACGGATCTTTCTCCTGGCCCCCAGCAAGGCTCTGAGCCGACTTCCAAACATGTGTGACTGATTTGGTCATCTGAGCTTGAGGCCCCTCTGTGCGGGGGACCTGGCTGGGATGGGTCTCTCTCTACCCTGCACACTTGTCACGGCTTCCAGCTGAGTCCACGTACCTGGTCTTCCTGCAGGGCCCCCACCCCAGGGCTCTTTCCAACACTAAGAAGAAGCAGGGGGAGGTCCTAATTTGAGACTGAATGCTGTGCCTGTTTTCCAGGTTGCCGTGCGGCTGGTGCCTCACACAGGTCTCCTGCTGGCAGCTGAGTATGGTCTCCAGGGGCAGAAAGACCAGGTTGGAATCTTGGATTGGCCACTAGTGAGCCGTGGAAGCTTGGACAGATATTCTACTCTTTTTGAACCTCAGTTTCTTCATCTGTATAATGGGGATAATTATTGGTGTTTCTCCTGTCATTCAACCACCTCACTCTCCTTGAGGGCATTGTTCTGCATGCCACTCACTGGAGACACAAAGATGAACTACAAGTGCTCCCTGCCTCAAACAGGTGACATTATCTAGATAGAAAAGAATGGCTAGGCATCTAGAACCTGGCGAAGTGGAAATAATTGGGGCTTTAAGTTCAGACACATGGGGGCCTCAATTCCAGCTCTGTTATTGTTGCTGTGTGATCTCGGGCGAGCTGTGCTTTCCGGTCCTCAGCTCCCTCAGCGGCACAGTGAGGAGGTTTCTAGATCATCTCTCCCCCTTACGTCCTATGATTGTATACAGATACCAGCCTCGAAATCAAAAGGAGAAATAAATCAGTTGGTCACTTGGTGTCATGTAATTAAGCCAAATGGGCGCTGCGGAACTTATAACTCTGTCCTGGACCTTCCAGATTGCAGGCGTTTTGAGGAGTCCTGTGGATTCCTGGGGAAAGGGCCAGAGCTTTGGCATCCAACACACTTGGAGTCTGATCCCACTTCTGCCACTTACTGGCTGAGGGACCTCGAGCAAATCATTCAGTGTCTTTGAGGCTCCATTGCCCATCATAAAATTTGGGGAAAAACATATACTTTGCAGTGCTGTTGTAAGAACTGGAAATTGTTTAGGTGACGTGCCTGGCATGGTAGACCCTCACTACACGGTCCTGCGACGCAGCAGACAAAGGCCCTGGAGGGCAGGCTCTGCGTCTGGCCCATTGCCCTGCAGGGCCCGCACAGCACCTGCAGGAGCAGACACTCAGTAAATGCTTATTAAACGAACGAGTAGCTTTCAGTGCTATGCTTTGTAACCTGGGCCTCAAACGAGCATATTTTCCTCTGTTGCAGGAACTTTCGAGCCAGATACGGGCCTGAGATACGGGTTGCATAGCACGCATCCTGCCTATTAATAACTGTAAGTCCTTGTGCAAGCCATGGCCCCTCCCGGAACCTCAACACTCCAGTTGTCTCATAGGCAAATTGTCCTGCCTGCCTTGCTGGGTTCCAAGGTGACCCAAAGAATTTGCGGCTGTGAAACTACTCTGCAAACCCTCAAATGCCATCCACTTGGAAAGTGTGCTTGTGGAGGCCACGAAGCTGTTGACAGCTGCTGTTTGGCATTGGCTGGGAGGAAGGTCAGAGCGTCCAGTGCTCATGCATGTGAACTCTGGGACTTCACATGCTGGGAACATCATTGGGAGACACCAGCTGACCCCCCTTGTCCCCAGGGAGCAAATGTGCCTGGCTCACTGTCCCCGTGGACGTGAGTGAAGCATTTACACAACACAAGCAAGGCTTCCAGAGCATCCTAGAGCAATGTTAACTTTTTTCAGTGCTCCGTGAATGTCGTCTTTACACCTGTTATCTCATTCATTTAACCTTCCTAGTGACTCTAGGAAACAGGTACTGTTCCGATTTTTAAGTCGAGGAACATGAAGCCCAGAGAAGTATAGAAATGTGCAAAAGGATAGAGGTAGTTAGGGCAGAACAACCCACGCCTTCTGACTCTAGGTCTCACACCCTTCCCACCCCTTTAATTTCCACGAGAAAAAAGATCTTGACGTTATTCAGCAAACAGGAAGTCTGTGTCTGGTTTATTTTGCTAGTCTCCATGGAACTTAGCCCTAGCTGAGAACATGATAGGTATTCGGTAAATACTAGAACCACAGAATCGAAGAATGTGGCTTTGGAATCAGGCAGATCTGGGTTCAAATCCTGCTCAGCCACTCACGAGCTGTGTGACTTTGGCAGGGGCTCTGATTCTCAGTCTTCACATCTGTACAGTGTGAGGGTGCGTCCTGCCTGGGGCTGTCGTGAGTGTCCATGGGGAGAACACGTAACACCTTGAGCACTACACCTGGCACAGATCAGGAGGGCTCTCCAGTTAACAGAAGCTGTAAAAACTGGCCTTTAAACCTTTTGGTTTGAGTGTAAAGAGCGGAGGGTGACCCTGAGAACTCACTTCTCTTTCGTAGCTCCCTAGCCCTCTCTCTGGCACACATTTATTTTTAAAACCCGTGTGTGTAAAACCAGGGTGGGACCATGTGCCTTTGATTCATTCCCACTTAAGTGACAGGCATTGTGTGCTCAGGGGCCTCACAGGGGCTTCCTCCTCCACGGCCTCCGCTACCTTGGCCTGTGGAGATGGAGGTCTCTCTGATCCAGATGAGCTCCCACTCTGGATCCAAAGGAAGGGACTTGCCCAAACTCACTGGACAGAGGAAGGTTAAACCTCTGCTCGATATCTGTGCAGAGTGCAGTATATCTCAGGTTGTGGGCAGCTAGGTACCAATGGTACACATTGTATGGTCCTCTGTGTCATTTGGGGTTGCAAAAGAATGATTAATATACCCATTTTACAGAGGGGTAAATGAGGCCCAGAGAGCCATTTATTGAGCTTTTGTTATGTGTCAAATATTGTACAAGGTGTTCCGTTTGCCTTCTCTTTGGTCCTTAGAGGGGATTTGGAGATGTACAAACTGAGGCTCAGGGAGGTCAAGTGTTTCGTTCAGGGTCACACCATGTATCAGTTAGGGAAAAAGTTAAGATGCTCTAACAGGGACCTCACAATGCCATCGCTGAAACAAGATCTGGGTGGACTGCCTCCTCGTGTAACAGTACTCCGGAGGCCCACAGCTTGGCCCCATGTGGTCACTCAGGTATCCGGGGTCCTTCTCATTTTGTCATTAGAGTGTTGCCTCGTCCACTTGGTTGAAGCTGTTTTGCCCCCTCCAAATATGTGTTCCAGTCCATGGGAAGGGGGAAAGGGAGGAAGTGGAGGGCAAGCCATTTCCATTTACAGTTTATTGGGGAGAACATAGCCATACCTAGATGCAAAGGAGCCTGGGACACGTAGTCACCAGCTGGGTGACTCCTTGCCCATCCCAAACTCAGAGAGGGGAGGTGTTCTATCAATACATCTCTAACCATCTCTGCTACACACAGTGAGCGGCAGAGCTGGGTTTTGAACACTAGTCTGTCTGCTCCATCGCTGCACAGATCTTAGTGAAGAGGGCAGATTCCTTCCCTGACTTCTGCTCCTCTCTTGTATTCTGACCACCTTGGTGCATAGAGTCAGACACCCGCCGACATTAGCAGGATAATTGAGCATTTTCTCTGTGCCAAACACAGAGTGCTTTTCACACATTGTTTCATTTAGTCTTCAATCAGACTGAAAGTCTTTGTGTAGAGATCTCATAAAGGGTCAATTGATCTGAAATGCTCAGGGACCCTGGGCACACAGACGTGGCATTCCACCCTCTCAGTTCTTCCCCAGACAGCCCAATGCTTAAGAGCTTGGGGTCCACGTACATCCTTCAAAATAAATCATAGCCCTTTCAGATGGTAGATCCAGCCATTACAAAGAATGAGGCAGATATTTCTATGCTGATATGTTAGGACTGCCTAGTAATATTGGTAAGTGGAAAGTGGAAAAAGAAAGGGGCAGAACACTGTCTGCAGTGTGCTACCGGTGGGCAAGCCTAATGCATTTGCTTTGCTGGTGGAGGAGATGTCTCGTAGGATGTACAACAACTGAGAACAGTGATCCCCTCCCAGAGAACAAGATGCTGGGAGACCAGGAGTAGCAGGAACACTTATTCATACTGTAGACATCTTTGTACCTTTTGAATTTGGTACCACGTGAATATATTTCCTATTTTTAAAAAAAGTAAAAATAAAGATAAAAACTAGGCCTTGTGATATGGAGATAGCTAGATGACCCTGGGAATGTCCCTCAACCTCTGTGGAGCTTCAGTTTCCTGATTTGTGAAATGGGGAGTAAAAATCTTAGTGCAGGTCTGCCTCACACGAGAGTCAAGTGCAGTGACGCCCATAAAGGGCTTCCACTCTGCAGGACAAATCGTTCGTGTGCAGTGAGCGTTAACGATCTTCGTGTAGTTCCTTCCTGGAAGGGACAGGGAGTAGATGTTCTGTTTGTCTCGAGGAACAGCCCTGATCAAGGTCCTGGCATTCTCTTTGGCCCTGGGAGGGCTTTCAGCGAGGTTGAAGGAACCTCTGGCCCAGAGCTCGGGCCTTTGCTCCAGCTGTCTTTGGGAAGTTCTCTCTTGGGAACTAGCAAGGGGAGGTTGGCAAGGCGCCCAAATGCTGATTTTCCTGGTTCAGGAAACCTGGAACCTGGGAAGGATTGTCCATCCCTGGACAGCCCAGGCCCCTTTGGCATCTGGATGCCTTGTAGCCTGTAACCCCTTCTTTCCTTGGAGACACTAAGACCTACACAATGCATCAGTCGAGCTCTCAAGGCCATTAGTCCAAGCCCGTTGTCTGATGGGCAGGGTAGAGGGGGCCAAGAAGAGCCCGAGTTTGCATGACAGAGCAGTGACAATGCTGGGCCTGGAGCCCAGATGCGAGTCCAGCGCAGGTGTTTCTCTAAACTGCCTAGGGATGCTGTCAGGTTAAACCTACCGCTTTAATGAACCTGAGCTGGGTGCTTTCCGGGAGTTCTTACTTATTCCTTTACTGCAGACTGCTGTTGAGGACCTGCTGTGTATGAGGCCAGTGCAGGAGCTACAAAGATCCGTCAGGCCTCACCCTTCTGGCGGACAGGCCGTGGGGCGAGGGTTGGGGTGGGGAGGGGAATTGGTTCTACCAGAGAGGAGAGAACCAAGTCCTGGGAGTTCAGACGAGGGAGAGTTCACACGAGGACAGGAGAATGAGAGGGTGCTGTGTGTTCATCCGGTGTCATTCATTCATTCATTCATTCATTTATCCATTCCAGAGACCTTCTCTGGAGGAAGGAAGGATACACATGCATATTGACTACTCTGTCTACCAGGCATAATGCTTCTGGTTTTCACATTCATTATCTGATGTAAAATAATAAAGGCAATGTAAAGTAGTGCCAAGATCATAAACTTGATTGTCAGGCAAACCTGGGTTTAAACCCTAGAACCTCTACCTTTTTAGCTGTGGGGAAAACTCAGTTATCTTCTCTTAACCTGCTTCCTTATTTGTCAACTGGGGTTAATAATCAAAAAGTCATCATGAGGATTGAAAGAGATGATGTCTGTAACCATTCCACTTATGGCTTGGCACAGAGGAAGCTCTAAATAAAAATGCTGGCTCTCTTCCCTTCCTGTACCCTAGAGAACTTTTTTTGAGACAAATTATTGCCTATCGTGACTTCTAGAATTGGGCTGTATTCTACGAAAAGGGAGCACTAATGTAGTACAGCACTCTTGACACTGTCCTTACCTCATCTTTCAGGATGAAAGGGTAGGATGGCCTCTTTCCCCTCCGTTTTATCAAAGACATCCCATTGCTGGCTGGACTTAATTCATAAGGCCGCATCAAAGAACACTCTGCACTGGCGAGTGTGACTGCTTTCTCTTGGGACTTGGGCTTCTGTTTTCTCTGGAGCTGGAAGGCCAAAGCCCCAGGCCTGCCATAGAAGATCGTGCCAGGTCAGCCTTGGGCCCCGAAGGCCTGCCCTACTCAGGGTTCCCATCTGGGTAGCGTTTGGGTTGGATTGTGCCCTTCAAGAAGATATGTTGAAGTCTTAACCCCAAGTGCCTCAGGATGTGACCTTGTTGGAATTAGGGTTTGTGCAGATGTAATTAGTTAAGATGAGGTCATACTGGAGTAGGCTGGGCCCTTAGTATAATGTCCTTACAAGAAGACCACATGAAGAGAATGCCATGTGATGACAGAGGCAGGACTGGAGTGCTGCGGCTACAAGCCAAGGGACGCCAGGCCCTGAGGGCCACCGCCAGAACCTAGGAAGAGGCAAGGAAGGATTCTCCTGCAGGCTTCAGTGGGAGCCTGGCACTGCAGACACCTTGATTTTGGACTGCTGACCTCTAGAGATGTGAGACAATAGGCTACCGTTGTTTTGCAGCTGCCCAGTTTGTGGCACTTTCTTACGGCAGCCCTCGGAAACTAGGGTTCAATGAGTGGATATTTCATCTCCATCTTAAAGTTCGGAAACCATAGCCCCCAAACTTCCTCATTTCTCCAGAACAAACAGTTTGGTGTAGGACTCGGCAAAGGTCGTGGGTCCATCGAAGGAACGAGCGAATGAACGGCTGGCAGCTTGGAGAAGGGGTGCGGATGGCACAGGGTCTGCGGCTAGTTGGAGGCGGAGTCTGCTCTCGAGCCTGTCTCTGGGGTCTGGTCCACTGTTTGCTCCACCAGGACAATCACAAGATTTACCACTTAGCGCCCTGCTGACGAGCCTGGGCTTTGGAGTCTCTCGGCCTCAGTTTCCCCACTTGTAGCTTTTGGCCTCGTTCCATAAATGTCGGTGCCATTGCTATTGTCACTATTATTATCATGTTCTTGTATCACACTTTAAGTGGGTCACATATATTGTTTCATTTAATTCTCATGGTAGCCCTTGAGGTAAATGTTACTATTCCAGTTTTGCAGACAAGGCTGAGGCACAGAGAGGTTAAATACACTGTCCAAACACCCAGGTGGGAAATAGTGGCCTCAGGTGGCAAACCAGCCATGCAGCCTCCTGTTGCGTCTCAGGGCTCCTGTCCGGCCGCCTCCATTCAGACTCAGCTTTCCAGGCCTCAGAGTCAGCCCCTCACTGCAGGACGGCCACAGGCCTCTGTCTCCTGATTCAGGTGTACTGTCTGGCCACCCACAGGCTCTGTCTGGAGTGTCAGCTTTCCTCAACTTTTTTTTTTATTCTTTGAAAATCTCTCCCTTGCTAAAATAAAATTTTCAACATGGTAAATACAACTCTCATACGAATATAACATGAGCATATGTGAAAGATTTTATTTTAACTTATTAATTAATACGGGAACTAATAAGAGATTAAGTGAGAATTTGACTTACAGAGATTGATATTCTCTTTCAGATAAAACCCAGTTTGATTGCTCTGAGCAGGAATTATTGGGATTGCCACGGACAATTGCACTGCTATTAGTTTTTACCTGTTAAGTTTTATCTCGTACAAAGTTGTAAAATGGCTAAGTCAATCAAAAACAATCAAAGGGATACAGAATCTGATGACCCTTGGCCTGCTAGACAATGTTCAGAATTCAACTGAAACAACACTCAGTCTTCTCTTTTGCCCCTTTCCAGTCTTTGACAAAAATTTCCTGATACTCTTTTTACTGTGTGCAATGCAAAAGGCTTTTTATCCATTAGATATTTAGAACTCCTGTAAATTACTAAAAAAGTGACAACTGACCCAAAGGAAAAGTGGGCAAAGGATATTAAACACACACTTCCCAAATAGGCAGTAAAAATGAAAAGATGCTCAACTTCATTAGTAATCAAAGAAATGCAAACTAAAACTACAATGAGATATCATTTCATGCCCTCTAGATAAAATTGGTAAAAATTTAGAAGTCAGGCATTAGCAGGAATATGGAGTCCCAGGAATTCTCGTGCACTGGTGGTAGGAGTTTCAACTGGTAAGATCACTTTGGAGAGAAATTTGGCAATAGCTAGTAAAGTTGAAGATGTTCACCCTGGGACTAGAGAATCTCCTCATAGGTACGTTTTCCAGAGAAACTCTTGTACACGTGCACAGAGAGACACATGTGGAGACCATCACAACAGCCTGATTTGTAAGAGCAGATCATTGGGAAGAACCTAAATGTCCGTCATCAGGAGAACGCAGAACATAAGTTGTGCTGTATTTCTGTACTCATATCATGGAATACTCTACAGCGTTAAAATGAATGAAGTTGAGTTAGATGTGTCAATATGGATAAATCTCAAAAACTATGTTGAGTGAAAGAAGCAAGTTGTAGAATGATCAGCGCAATTGTTAAAGCTTTAAAACATGCAAAAACAGTATTACCGTTTTACAAGGACAAGTGTGGCTAAGTGTAAAAAATAAGAAGGGAGTGACACATACAAACTCCAGGACAGCGGCTTCCTTTGGGATGCGGGGAAGGGAATGAGATTACCGAGGGCGACGGCAACTGTATCTGCAATGTCTTAATTTTTAATAAAAATTGGGGATATGCAAATGTTTGTTATACTGTTTTGATACTTTTCATATGCCTGAAATAATAGTAATAACTAACAATACGAATAATAATCATGTGTTTGTGTACCATTTCCCTATGCTTTAAAATAGAGAAAATAAAGCCTTTCCTTCCGCAGTTGGAAATGTTGCACTTCTCTAAAGATCCTCTAAAAAACCCAATAAAAAACCAGATGCCAGCAGTTGGCCCTTTTGGAGAGTCGGTCCAGTGTATGCATTATTCCTTGGAATTTGGATCTTAATTTGGGGGCAGAGGAAGCCACTGAGAGGTTGTAAACTGGTCTCGTTCTTGGCTTGCAGGACTTTGGGGACGTCCTTCTTCTCCCTTTCCCATCCTCGTATGCCTGTCCCAGCTTCAGTTTTTCTCCTGGTAACTTCACACTTCTTCCTAGTGACATGCTGCTATGTCACACCTCAGTGCTATTGCTCCTGGTTTCCTATGCTTAGGACATCTTTCTCCCCACTTTCTTTCTGGCTAAGCCCTACGCTCCCTTCCAGAGCCAGCTAAGGCAATGGTGTCTCTTAGGAAGCTTTCCCTGTTCTTTCAGGATGAGTCAGGTTCGCCTCTGAACTCTGAGCTCCTTTTGATATTTGTGTCATAACCTTACTTACTCTCTATCTTGCCAGCCCCTCAGCAAAGTGCCTAGTCACAATAAATGTGTAGGAGAAGGAAGTGCTGTTGGAGCAAGAAGGTGTGAATTGGTGTTTGCTCAAGACCCTCCCCGCACTACTGATTTCCAATAATGGCTCACATGGTCATTAAGTAAGATTCCAGTGTGAATCTGCCCCATGAGCCTTCGTAAGACTTGGAAAAGAGACTCTGAGAAAGGGGCAGCACGGGGGGGAGGGGGAGGGAGGTTCAGAAGGAGATCACAGCGACGGTCCAGGTCGAAGTCACTTCCCATTGCCGCTCAGCAAGTTGGAGACTGGGTGGACAAGAACTCCCGTCTCCTTGCTCCAGCCGCTGTCTTCCTTTTGTTCCACTCTCTGCAGGTTGAGAAAACAGCTGCTCTGTGTCATCTTATTAAACTCTCCTCCAATACTTGAAACAGGAAATGACTCTCTAGCTCTGGGGTAGAGAAGCTGGGTCAGCCGCAGCAGGTGGCCTGGAAGAACCTAGGAGGCACTGGAGGATGGACAAGCCTCAGGGAGGCTGCAGGGAACTTGAGCAGTTCTGTAGTTGGATCAAATTAAAGCAAGTTTGGCTCCAAAGGTCTGGTGACCCTTCTGAACATACTCACACATCTGGATATTGGATGGAAGCCCAGTAGATCCATCCTTGAGGATCATCTAGAGACAGACTTTTGTGCAAAAAACGAAAGAATAACGAATTATCATATAGATGAGGCTGGCCAGGTGTTCATCGTTAGAAGACAGAATAAGACACAGGCTGTAAACAAGACAGGGCTTCCATGGCATCAGAAGAAATACGGATTGTTGTGTTTAATTATCTGTGAATTTCAGGGCCAACTCAAGGCCTGGAACACGGCAGGTTTTCAGCAAGCTTTGCTAAATGAACGGATGAGCTCTGGAGAAATCTCATGACTGGAAAAAGCCTCACCAGCCATGTCTCATATATCTGGTTTGGAAGAATGCTGTTGGTAAAATAAGAAACAAGATTCCTGCAAGAGCTTTTGACATCCAGCTGACCAGAAACATGCCAGAGCCATAGGACCAGTGGGATCGAAACCAAGGAAAGGCTCGGCAGCGTTTTAAGGATTAACAATTAGAGGTTTGGGTTGTGATGGTGGCTTTCCAGTGATGCCTGATTTAACCCCCACCCTCCCCCCAGAAATACGAACACAGTAAGACAGAGGTTGCAATGGTGTAAAGGAATGATTTCCATGAATAATTCGCAGCCCTCTGGGACGGATTTTTCTCTGACCACAGCATTGATGGGAGGAAGTTGAGAAATAACTCACTTTGATCTAAAAAATAGAACCACAGCGCTAGCCTGGAACCCCCACCTGTGTACCAGAAGGTCTGGCCTCTCTTTCCTTGGGAACAGCCTTCTGAAGCAGGCAGGCTCACTTCCCACTCTTCCCACTGTCCGCCGTGGCGCTCTGTCTCCATCTGTTCGGTAACGGTGACTCCTGATCACGCGCCATCCCGGGAAGCCACGTTGGCTGTGGGAAGGGCACAGGAGGAAGGGCTTTAGGGACACCGCACTCCGGGGAAAAAGGCTTAAGTGGGATCAGACAGTTAAATGTTTTCAATTTTTTCTGTTTGTGTTATTTTCATTTACTACTGCAGGCGCTATTATTGAATGTTTATATCTGACTACAGAGCAAAGGGAGACGGGTATCTGATAATACCGATAGCGGAATGTCTTCATGGCCCTCTAGAATTTGAAGAATAATTCCAGAGATTATTTCAACCCCTCACCCCACCTTTGCCACCCTTTCTACCACGAACAAAGTCACCTTTATGGAGCACTTGTTCCCTCTCCTCTGACCCCATACCACCATTCCTCTCAGCCCCCCTGTGCAGACCGGGACTGTTAGGGTCTCTGCTCTGCAAATGAGGGAACTGAGGCTTCGGGGTGTCAGTAACATGGTCGTTCTGAACTGAACTGTGTCCCCTCCAGATCCCCATGCTGAAGCCCTAACCTCCAGTGTGACATCTTGGAGGTGGAGCCTTTGGGAGGGGATTAGGTTCAGATGAGGTCCTGAGGGTTGGGCCCCATGATGGGGTTAGTCCCCTTATATGAAGAGGAAGAGACTAGAGCTCTCCCCGTCTCTGTCCACCACGTGAGGACACAGCAAGGAGGAGCCATCTGCAAGCCAGGAAGAGGGCCTTCCCCAGAACCGAACCCTGCTGGCACCTTGATCTTGGCCTTGCAGCCTCCAGAGCACTGAGAGATAGAAGTTTGTTGTTTAAGCCCCTTAGTCTATGGTCTTTTGTAATAGCAGCCTGACCCAAGACAATGATGACGTCACCCAGCGCAAGCGCGGCAAGAGCCGGGCCGTGAAAGCCGTTGCGTGTGAACGCGGCACCGCACCAGGGTCTTCAGGAGCAGAGGAGACGGCGGGAATCGCATTCCGAGATTCGTGCTGCACTAAAAGTGAAGAAATACCAGAACAGAGTGACAAAAATATTGTCTATTTTAAATGGTTGTATTTGACAAATTAGCCCCTTTAACACCCAAACCACATTTCTTTAATTTGTTTTGTTTCTCAGCATGCAAAAAGTATAACAATTGAAATACTTTTGACTGATCTGAAATCTTAGATATTTTTTGTGCAAAATAATGTCATTTCGAATTTTGAGAGAGACATATTATACCAGTTACAAAAATTAAATAGATTATGAGTGATGCATAGCCATGGTCCCACCGTGGAAGCATTTAAAGATAATCAGTACATTTATTAAAAAAATGCTATTTCGTGTATACTACAGGTGATATGGACTGGTAATGTGACAGAAATTTAAGAACTATGGTAAGCAACTTTCTCACTGTTGTCAACGTATTTCTTTGGCTGCATACCAGGCCTGGGGCTAAAGGGTCCCCAGATTGGCACTGATTAGCTATGTGGCTTCCTAACTGTGTAATGACCTCTTTAGCTCTGTTTTTCATCAGTGAAGTGATGGCTGAGGGTTGGATGTCCACCTCCATCATATAACCAGAGTTATTTCCCTAATTTGGGTGGCTGGGCTAGAGACTCCTTACCTCTCACCTGCAAATATGACGGACTGCATGGGACAACCTGCAGCGTTCTACCAGGGCAAAGAGCCCATTGGCTCTTCTATTAAAAATACGTGATTGAATTGAAAACATGTTAGTGTCACGCTGCTGCTGCTGCTACTACTGCTGTGACCACCAGCACCACCACAGAACTGCATGCCCGAGTGAAACCAAGCCGCTCAGCCCGAGAGGGCAGCCGTGCCCTAGGGAGGGCAGCGTGCCACCAATAAGTGCCCTCGGAGGGCTGGCCTTACAATCTCCAAACCGAGCTTGTAACCCCATGCCAGTTACATCTAAACCATCAGGAAACAGTTTCTCTGGCAGCGGATGCAGGAATGGTACAACTTCCTCTCCTGAGAACTGTAGGACAGCCCAAAGGTTCTGCTAAAGAGGTGCCCACAAAGACTTTGAAAATAAGAGAAGGAGGGCTGTCTTCTGAGAGTCTGACTGTAGATCAAGACACTGTGGACAGAAACATGCAGAAGCCACCTTTGGAAGTAGACTAACTCTGAGACCAGAAGACCATTGATCCAGTTAAAGCAGAATGTACCAGCTGCAAGGGGGTGGGCGAGTCAGAGAGCTGGAATAGAAACGAGTCACTGAGGTAGCTCCTAGATCTGTGAAACCAAAGGCCCTTGTGCTGAATGACTCCATGATGCCACAGCTCCTGTTTACTGAGCGTGTATTCTCTGAGGGGAACAGTGTTAAGTGCCTTTCACACAGCATCTCAGTTAACATTCCACAGCCCTAGGAGGTAGGTATCACTCTTGCCATTTTACAGATAAGGAAGCTGAACCAGGGATCAGAAAGGATGCTCAGCTCACTTAAGGTCACCGAATGGGTGAGGGCTGCAGCCCAAATCACATGCAGGCTGTGCGGCTGCCAAGGCTTCGCTCCTGACGGCTGTGATGCTGCTGGACCAGCCACAGGGCTGCCCGTGCTCTTCTGGGGCCAGTCTCCAAAGGAGACAGAACCAGATGGCTTCTTGGTGAATCATGGGTGCTCTGGACTGAATTGTGTCCCCTTAAATTCCTATGCTGAAGCCCTACCCCCGGTGTGATGGTGTGTGGAGGGGGTGCCTTTGGGAGGTGATGAGGGTGGGGCCCCATGGTGGGATTAGCGCCCTCAGAAGAGGCATAGGAGAGCGTGTGCTGTTTCCCTCCACCAGGTGAGGACAC